TTGCCATACATTCTTTAGTGCCTAATTCTGTATGTTTTTGTGTGTATTATTTTAATATATTTATATATCTACTTTTTCACTTAAACATTTTACCACAGGCACTTGTCTATGTAGCTCTTTTTTACAGTAAGTAAAAAAAAGTTAAAACAATAGTTTAGTAGGTGTTTAGTTTAAGATAGTTTAAAAATAAAATTGTGTGAGACTTGTATACATGAGTTAAGTTAAAGCTCTTAACTGCTCTTTAGGAAAAGATACTTATATATATAGTACAAGAAAATATTTCCTTTAAATTTATTCTTTAAACCTACTGCAGCAAAAGTTGAAAAACTCTGTAAAATGCAAATATTAGATAGCAATACTAATAGATGGAAAAAGAAGTTATTCAGTAAATACATTAATTACTAAAGGAACATTTCTTTGCAAATGCATATATGTGAGTGATTATATGCTGGCCAGTGATACTTTTACTAGTAACATTGGGATTATCTAAAGCCTAATCCAAATAGAACCTTTAGTTTAAAAAAAAAATAAATTTTTGGACATTATGCTGTGGAAAAGTTAGTATGTCAAAATTGAATTTGAAAACCACACAAAAGACAAAACAGCTCTGTAAGTACTGATCTGAGCATTCATAGTATATACTTTTCTGGTGATGTAAGGTTTCTTACCAGTTTCAGAAAATCTTTCAGTTTAAAAACTTTATTTTCACTTTCTCATTTCTCATTGTTAATGTTTCATATTTAATTTTTGAAACATGAATTAAAATTTAGAAAGCTTAAGTATGAAAGGCATTGGAAATCTAGTTTCAGTATCACTGTAATTCTTTTACTCTTTGCAAGTTTGTTTGTAATGTGTTGCTTGTAATACATTGTTAAGCCTGTCACACTTTACAATATTTTCTCCTAGCTTTTTGTAGACATTTAAGTTGAGAACTAGGGAAGACTATTGAATAATGAGCCTCAGGTGAAAAATGAAAGTACTTTTTCATAAACTTTGACTGTCTATCACTTTGAGGATAAAGTGCTATATTGTGTAATTTTGAACAGGTGAAATCTGGCTACCTGGAAACCCGGTCTCTCCACTTTTTCCAAAATGATACAGGTTAGAGCCTTGTGTAGAGTAAGGATGGACTTCAGATCCTAATTCAGTGTGTATTTTTGAAATTTTATTCTTCTGTGTTCCATCAAAATTTGTTCTTCTGTGCAGCAGACCAAAATAAAACACATACTATTGCATGAATTCAACCCCTTCTCGCATTGTCAGTTGGAGATAGTGGTAGCTGAATTTTCACAAGTTCCAGTGTCATTAAGTTTTTGTCATTTTGTCTGCTATAAGAAGTCGGGAAAGACTTACAAGTGTTCCACAATGCAAGAACTTTTTAAAAAGCTCAGTCCTGGAATTTTTTTTTTGGGTGGGTAGGAGGAAGTTGAGGGATGACCTGTCTGTAAGGGATACTATTTTTAAGTAAGAGAATAACTTGAATTTTAGATTTAGCCAAATCTAAAGATAGATAGTTGAAGTGGAAGGTAGAAACATTCAAATTAGAATGAAGAGGTTTAGCTCTTAGAAAAAGATAAAAAGGAGTGATGGAAACAGTTCCTGATGTATGGTTTTATCATTTTTCCATGAATTCCTTTAACTGAAGTATGGAGAATTACCTTATTCTTGAAAAAGTAAAAAGTATGTTCATAGGTTTGGTCAGAGACCCCAAGTTTGCCAGTTTTCCTAATAGCATTGAAAAGGTAGTTAAATGTTGTACCTAGTTTGGCATTTCAAATCTAGATCTGGAGTGTGGATGTTCTTGACCTGTGAAAATGAAAGTCTGTTTCAATCTGTGTTTTTAATCTTGAGTATGTTGGCTTGGTTTAGGCAAATGGAGTTAAGAACTTGAATTCCTGATTATGATTCACGCATGCCCTTAGCGAAACTTCCTGTGCTCAAGTTGGTCATAAATTAATGCAATATTTTTCTGCAGGGAATCAGATGAGGTGTAAATGACTTGCCTGGCACAAATTCAGAATTATATTCTGTAGTTACAGCTGAGTGACAGTTGAGGACTTCTTTATTCTTTTCTGTTGGAGGATTTAATGTACTTTACAGGTTTCCTATTGATCCCCCCTCCCCTTACTGTTTCTACTTTTTTCAAAATTTGTTCATAATTTTTATTTTAAATCCTCTTTGGTGTAAGCCCTCAACTCATGAATTTGAACACTAATAATTACAAACATTTTTCCACTAGTCACTATTTGTGTGTTTTTTGGAAATACAAGTAGCTACTGAACTGCTCTTCCAACACGAAATCAGAGGTTGAATAGCTCGCACACTGACTTGCATGTTTTATAGCCAGAAGTAGGAAAAAAAGGAAGTCTTAACACTTGCTCCTGTCATATCTACATGCATTCCGATTTCCAGCATTGATTAATTCATTAATATCTGTATATCTTATGACAGTGGTGTTCTTTAGTTCTTGACTCTTTCTGATGTTTACTCTGTTGACATATTTGTAGGCAGTGGTTGTATTACCTTTTAACCAAAGTAAATAATTTTTTTTCTGACCTTCTTTCCAAAGCAAGACCTCTTCCATCCAACTGGTTAGCTCTTTATTACATACGTTCAAGAAAAAGGGTAAAGGAACTGAAGCTGGAATTTTGCTGGAATTCTGTACAAGAATGCCAGACAATATTCTGAGTAGTATCTTTCTGATGCTTTGTACAATTATGTTAATGCTTCCCTTCTTCTGCTAGGAAAATCTGGTCTGGCTTTTTTTTTTTTTATCCATTTTGGATGCGTCATGTTTATTAGTTGGTTTTTCCTTTTCTGTGGGTGAGCTTATAGTTCATAATGGGCATTTTTGTACTTGGTCCTTAAATTCTGCAGTTGTGGATTTCATCAGCCTTTTGTGATGTCAGTCCTCTGGGTCATCCCTTTTCTCCAGTGTGATCTTTCTCTGCATTAATAAAGCTTCCTGTCTTGCTTTTATACTTTTCTACTTTTTGTGTCTGATTCCTTAGTGCAAACAGTCCTTAAAACTGCTTTAGGAGCTTTTCTAGTAACTGTTCATCATGATTTTTCTTCTTTCAAAAAATTCTGGGTAACCTTTAATTATTGGTTTTATGTACTTTAGAGTTCTTATGCAAACCCTTCTTGAGTCATAATTAATATTCTTATATGGTATTATATGAGATACTTCACTGAAAGTGAGATGAGAAGGATTTGCTATGGTTTTCATCTTGTTTAGGAAATGAGTTATCACAGAGGACTGTTGAGTTAATCTTGAACAGTCCACCTTTCATGAAACTGTAACATTTGTCTCTTTAGAATTTGTTCTTAACCCTTGAATTTTATTTACATCAAACTAAGAGATGGCTTACTTAAATATCTCATATTTATAATCAAAAAATGTTTTTTAATGAAGCAGCAATAGTATCAGTAAACTTTTCAAACAGAGTCTGAATATGTCTTTCAGCCAATGGTAATGACAACAAGAAATTCAAAGGTGATGATAAAATGGATGGGGCTCCTTCTCGTGTTCTTCATATCAGGAAATTGCCTGGGGAAGTGACAGAAACAGAAGTTATTGCTTTAGGTTTACCTTTTGGTAAGGTAACCAACATCCTGATGCTGAAAGGGAAAAATCAGGTAATTTGTTGCTTTCTATTTTTTAATATGCTTACTGTTTAATTTAAAAATACACTGATAAAGTGCTGTTGAAATAAGTCGTATAGCAATAATTATTTTTTAAAAAAAAAAGCCTGTGTTCCTCTAATTTTTTTAATGAACTTATACGGTCTCTTAGTAAGGGTTTTTTTGGAGGGCAACAGGGGATGATTGACAGCCACATAAAGCAAAAATTTAGCTGTAAGATAAATATTTAGTCCTATATCTTCATGGACAAATTTTTGGGGATGAAGTAGTTTAACAAATAAAGTTGGTCTGTAGAGAATGACATCTTGTAAAAACTGATACTTGTTAAAATGTGTTATCAGACACTTTAAGTGTTTTTTAATATACTGCTAATATGAAGATTATCTGCTTTGTAAATACTGAAAATTAACTGTTTAATTACAGGCATTTTTGGAACTTGCTACAGAAGAAGCAGCTATCACTATGGTTAATTACTACTCTGCTGTGACACCTCATCTTCGTAACCAACCTATCTATATCCAGTATTCCAATCATAAAGAACTAAAGACTGACAACACACTTAACCAGGTATATTTACTGTTATGTAGTATTACAAATGCAGACAGTAGAAAATGAGGCATGGCATGTATTCTTGGCTCATGTGGCATACGTTTAAATCATTTGGTTTTGTCCACATTCTGACACTGCTGTAGTCTTACCCTATGATCATTCCACGTTGTGATATTGAAGGGGATTTGCTTTCTGTGTGATCTTTCCATTACAATGAATTTTCTTAATGTTTCCTTAACATAAAAAGAAAAAGATTCTGAAGTGTCTTTTAAGTTTTTTCATAAAATAAGTTTTCATCTTTGTTTAGAGACTGTAGGATGAAAAAATTAACTTTCTAATTCTGACATGTGAGATTCTAATGCTACTTTGAATTTCCCTGCTGATAGTAACTAATAGCAATGCTTATGTTTCAGTGCTTTGAATGATTGCTCTGGTAGCACTGGTAACTTCAGCTTATGTGATCTGCTGTTCCTGGAAAAGAATAATGATCACTGTAGAGACAAATATACTTAATAACAAAAAAATGTTTTAGTGTTGCCTCTGCAGAATCTGTTTCACAATATCTGTAGATGCCCACGTCTGTTTCTAGTAGAACAGGAAAATTAGAAAAAGTAACGTGGTGACCATCTTGTAGAAATTATGGGAGGAGAAAAGAGATATCAACTTGCCACAAGTCAGATGATTATTTTAAGGTTAATTTCTTATGTTTTCTTTTTGATATTACAAAAGACAGTGCAAGTATGAAGTTACAGGTTCTGTAACTTGTGTCCTGTCTTAGGTAAGGTGTGTAAATAGTAAAATTATACCTGTTAGCTTTAAAAACAATTTCAGAGTAATCTATTGAAAGACATCTTGATTCAGATCAAATCTAGTGTTGATTTTCCTGTTGATCTTTCTAAACATTCCAGTTCCTTAGAATCTTTTGATAGTTTAGCTCCTAAAGGTACTTTTAAAAAATTGAGATCCCCTCCACCCCCACAATGTCAGTTATAAAGAAAAATTCACTTACTTTTGAAAAAAGAGAATAGAGGATGAATCCTGTCCCCACATATAGTGGGTGGACATACTCGCTTAAAAAAATTTCTTTTACATTGTCGACTTCTGTGGTGATACTGTTTTTGTACTTCATGTGTTGACCTTTTGAATGTATAGGATGTGCTGACTTTTCAGCAGCTTTTATGCGACCATATGCATTAATACCTGATTTTAACATATTCCCAGTCTTTCAGGTCTCTATTTCTTTAATTTAGAATTTAATTCTAAATTAATTTAGAACCTACTCAGCTGTAGGTATTCTGTAACTAGTATCTCATGAGGCATTCTGTAAAACACAAGATAGTTGGATATTCTTTTTTCTGTAAGGAAAAATAAAGGTGGTGCAGATGTTGCTTATAGTCTTCTTTTTGTTATTTTGAGATGCAAAACTTAGAAAATTTTTTTTTTTTTAAATCTGTGTTTGAAAGCCTTGTCATCCAGCCAAATTAATTTTGAAATTGTCTTTTTCTGGATGTTCAGGCAGGAAGAGATGAAAAAGTCAGGATGTTAGTACATGTAACTGGAAAGATAGGATAAAAAATTGCAGAAAGGTGCAAGTGATAAGTTATAAAGAAGATAGGAGAAAAATTTATTTAACCAAGGGGTACTTTAAAGGCCTTTAGAAATAATGAAAGTAAGAGAAGTTCCATTAAGCTATGCTATTCTGAATTTCTCAATAATAGTAGCTTCAAAGGTTATTTTTAGTAATGTACTCAGAATGAGTTTGCTCTGAATAAACAGATTCAAAAGGGAAAGTTTAAGTTTTCATCTCAGCTCTATAATTCTATGAACAGCCTTTTCCTGTGAGACATCAAAACACTGCAAGAAGATCATTTAAACTCAAATTTAAAACAAAACATCTCTTACCTTGTTTCATTCAGTATCTAGACTCAAAAGAATTGAGGCTAGAATGACCTCTGTAACTGTAATTCTCTGTAATCATCAACCTGTCGTAAATGCATGGTTTTGGTCTTTTCTGCACAGACATTGCAACATTTAGAAATAAACAAACGTTATACTTCCTGAATGGTCTAGCTGATGTTTTTAAATTAATTTTGATTTTGCAAAAATAAGAGAAAAGCTTCACATACTACCCAGATGTCTTCAAAAGTGGCTATTTATATATGATACTAAATGATATCTTGAATTTGTTTGACAAAATACTCACTGTCATAATTTATAATTTTATAGATTTTATCCTTATTTGCCAATGTTAAGTTGTATATTCCTTCATGCATTCACATTCACTTTAGTGGAACAGAATATAGATGAATAGTGCTAACAAGGGTCTTATGTTGAAATTGACTTCACAAGTTTTGGTTCTTTGGGTTATACAGTCTAAACTTTTCCAGTCACTTTTTAGGCGTGAGTTTTAATTGATATATGCTTCTGTGCTTACAGAAGGAGTAGGAAGTAATTATGTAACTCAGCCAAGTATCTGGCCAGCTTGAAAGTTGTGTATTTCATACATAAGGGGCAAAAAAGAACATGTTATCAAAAGATGTTTTTACAGAGTTACAGTAGCTAATGTTAAACATAGAGGTAAATTTTATTTTCCCAGCTAGTGTTCACCAGGTCTTTTTTTTCCCCCCCTGCCTCCTACTTTCCTTACTCATTGATTCGTTTCAGTATGAGGAGTATCATGTAAGTTGTGAGACGTGAAATTATGTAGTAGCTCTAACACCTTTAAAGTATGCAGTATGCGTTAATATCGTGGTTATTATTTTTACCTGGCATGCTCACTTGTGTCTCTGTTTTGTATCGTTTTGCTTCATAAGGCTACTGTAATGAAAGTATTAAATGGAAACCCTTTTTTCTGCACTTTTTCTTTCTCAGAAAAAGACATCTAATCTTTCTGATACTGTCAGTTTTTGCAACAGAAGTAGTTACATAGATGTGTGTTCTTGTGATGTCATCATGTGGTTACCTTTGAATTTCTAAAACCCTGCTTGTGTTTAAAACCCCAAAAAATCCCCACACATGGAGAGGATTTTGTTTTTCTTTTTATGAAAGAGGGTGGATAACAGACACCAGTTTGTTTACATCTCTGTGGATACTACTTTCTGACACTTGTCAGTCTTGTGTATTATTTCATTGTATTAAAACTGAGAAGTTTGGAAGTCTTAGTTTAGCATTATCCCTTCCTGTCAGAGCCTTCTACATAATTAAAATGGCAGTGAAATGTTGACTGTAATACAGTGTCTTGAAAAATAGGATAAATACTTATGGTTTCGGTAGGCTTGCATTTGTGGGTTTTTGTGTTTGTTTCGGTTTGGTCTTGATTTGGGTTTTTAAAGGAAAGAAAAAAGTCTATAAAGAGTCCTGAAACCTACAAAATCCTCACTTACTAGTAGAACAATAAGCTTGCTACTAGGAAGATTGGTGCAGTTTGAAGCCCCTCCTTACTGTGACATAAGGATTAATTGATGTTTTCATGCTTATTGTCTCTTCTCAGAGAGTCGAACTGCATCGTACTTACGTTATGTTATGTCTGTAGCTCTGAGTTTTGAATAAGTAGACTATTTTGTTTCTGAAGTTAACTATATTGCTAATTAATGTCCAGCTATCAACTTGAAATATATTAAAAAAATTGTCTCTTTTTTTGTTTGTTTTATTTTTAAGCGGGCCCAAGCTGTTCTTCAGGCAGTGACAGCTGTGCAGGCAACAAATGCTCCCATTAGTGGAACCACTGTTAGTGAGAGTGCAGTGACTCCAGCTCAGAGTCCGGTACTTAGAATAATTATTGACAATATGTACTATCCGGTAACCCTGGATGTTCTTCATCAGGTAAGCCAAATTTCATTTTAACTTGAGCTATGACTGGGAGGAACTGGCGTGTAAAACTTTACAATGTTTTTGGCAGATATTCTCTAAATTTGGTGCTGTATTGAAGATAATCACATTCACAAAGAATAACCAGTTTCAAGCTTTACTGCAGTATGGTGATCCAGTAAACGCACAGCAAGCAAAACTAGTAAGTATAGTTCTCTTTTAATGCTGGAGACCTTCCTTTACTCTAAACATTTGTATAAATGTTAGTGTAACAGAGTATTGACCGTAATAATGTGTCATACTCCTCCACCACTTGTGTGAATTTTTTGAGATTAAAAAGTAGCTGGGAGTTATTATGTAATGTTGTTATATTGCATAAAAATCAGTGTTTAAAGATACTATGTTTAAGGATACTATGTCTAAAGATTTGTATACATCTATAATTATGAACAAGTATTTTAAGACAGTACGGAGTTGAAATAATATGCAAGACTGCAACTATGAAAATGTCAACCAGAAGTAAAAATGTAGGATGTAATGTTGATGCATAATTAATTCACTGTAAGCAGCAAATTTAGTAAGCCCTTTTGGATTATTGTTGGTAGATACTTTCTAAGCATCAAAACAAACATGTGATTTGTGGATTGGATATGGATTTGTGAAAGTATTTAATTATAGTATCCTAAAAAAAAAAATATCTAGACTTCATTATAACCATAATTACCCAGAAGAGAGAGTGCAGTCTCACTCATGGGACTAGACTATGAAGAAGCTTTGCAACACTGACAGATGAGAGCAAGATCTTCCTTTTGTTTTACTGGAAACTCTCCTATCCTGGGTAGGAGAGGCAAGAACATGTAACTGGTTTTATTCATTATAGCAAGAGAGTGCCTATGGTTAAATTCTGATGAAGATCAACAGCATGTCATCTAGACCAGATGTTTTGAATTAATTGAATGGGCTATGTTCACATCTGTGGCAATAGGAAAGTTGAACCAAAGGGGAAAGCTAGATTTAAAAAATATTATAACTATTCAGAAATAAATGGAATAAATTTATGTTTTCAGACATTTACATGCAGCCTGGGTTTGTGGAAGGCTGATTAAAATTGATGTGCTGGTTAAGTGTTGCTTGGCAGCATAGAAAGTGCTTATTGCCCATCGATGACAGAATAGCTGAGAACTTCAGGAGAAAGTTAAAAGCTTGCACCTCAGACTAAGTTGGCAATGAATATCTCTTAGTAGAGGAAAGAAAAAACAGGCTTAGTTTTCTGTTGTAAAGAATGATGACTGTGTTGAAATAAAGACCTTTATTAAATAGTGGAGGATCGTCATTTTTATCCTTGTCTCCAAATGAAATACTGGGTATTGATTAAAAAATTGTGAGGTGATCAAGACAGGGAATCACAAAAAATAAGAGGCATTTTCAAAAAGCAGAGTGTAAGTTTTCATGCTATTGAGAAAAATAAAGTTAGCCAGGGGCAAGAAGATTTGCAACTTGATTTATGATGATCTACTTTAAGATAGTCAACTCCTGAAAAGCAGTCTGGAAATATTTGTAGATTTGGAGTACAATTTAAATTAGGGATATCATTATCAGAGTTTAGTAGTATCAAATATTAGATCATGTTTAAAAGTAGAGAGAGGCGCAAATATGTCACTGTAATTTGTAAAAATTAGCTTGAATTGGATACACCTTTCAGGTTTTGAGTAGGTTTAAAATATTAATACAAAAGCTAGGTCTTCAACCTACAGTTGCAGCAGAAATCGACTGTAGTCATTTAGATTCATATTTTAAATATTTGATAAACAGTTGGATGCTAATGTGTTTGTTGCCACATGTTGCAGTTCAGTCTTGATTCCTGTTTGGAAAGTTATTTTTCAGTAATAGATGTTAATGGTGCTTTTAAAGTGCGTTTTTGAAGCAAAATATGACATCAAGTGATAAATCTTTTGACTTCGTTTTTTTGAGTCTTGCATATATTATCAGAAGATTTAATGGAAAGATGGCATCTGTGAAATGGACTGTAGAGATTTGAAAATTATCAGTGTAATTCTAGGAATATGTTATAAAGAAGTGTCAAAATAACAAAAGGATGAGGTATGTAAAAGTATGAAAGGAACCTAAGAATCTCTTGCTGTTGTTGACTTCTGACAAACTGATACTAGCTCATGGGATACTGTATTGGTCATAATTAAAAAGAAAAAAAAAAAAGCATGTATTTGTTTCTCCAGTTTTGCATGTTTTGATTAGGGTCGCTGTTCACTAGTGGTAGTTCATGTGTGAATGACTAAACTTCACTGAATAACAGTGACTTCTGCATGTACAGTCATTGTCAGAGTGATCTTGGAGCCTGTCTTAGTGACAAATTGAAAAGTCTTAGGTTTATAGTTTCATATTTTAACCAATCTATACATAAATAGACAAAACGCTAAGAGTAATACCAACTGCAAATATTGAAGAATGCTAAACTTGAAGGAAGGTTTGATTTCCCTGCTACCCTCCCAAGTTAAGTAGCATAAAATAAGTACAGTTCTTATGATTGAGCTACTGTGGTAAAACATGAAGTGCCACCAAAACAACAATACCTAAATGAAAGAAACAGTCAGATGATAGGAAGAAAACCCTCCAGTTTTAATACATCTGGATATACAGTAGAAGCAAGAGGATGGGGTGGCTACACTTAAGTTGCATGGAGTTCAAAATTAAAAGCATGGTAAAAGAGTAAAGAAGTTTTCAATTTGTTTTCCGTCAGTTGTTACTGTAGAAGATAATGGGGAAATTTAATTTTCCACTGGCGCTCTTCACAGGAAATCAGAATGTGGCCTTAATAGAAATTGAAGACTTATTAAGGAAGTTAAAGAGCAATTTGAAAAACTCAAGTGATGTAAGTACCAAGGAGAGATGCTATTCATTTGAAGGTTCTGAGAAAATAGTGACGCTGACAAGAATGTACAATACGAAGCCTCTAGCCCTATGGGACCTCTTTTGCTATTTGAATGAGCAAGTAGTGAAAAATTGCATTCCTTCTCCACTTGCTTTGTGAGAAACTCATTTCCTGTAAAAGCAGATTATGGTTACCCTGATTTCTGTTTCATCACCACCCTCAGATTGGATCATTATAGTTACACCAGCAAGTAAAGGTGAAGACAGCAAACTTCAGGTTCTGTGCAATGCAGCAGTCTAGCCGTGGGTTGGAAAAAGTACTGAGAACAGGCAACGGTAGAGCACATTGAACTACTGTGCTTCTCCTAATGAAACAGAAGGTGATGTCCTGGAAATGGCTGTACGCATAAGGAGTTACCATAGGCGTCAAAAATAGCTCATTTTCATAGTAAATGATCAGGACCCTCAGCATAAGCTGCAAACATAAATATTTGATTACCAGTAATCTGGTATACCCTAGAAAGATTGGAACGCTAGTGTTTCTGTCTGAACAGCTGGCTAATCCAGAGTGGTGTTCTTTGTGTAAATGCACCAAAAGTACTCTTGCCAAATCTTGGATATTGATAGTTATTAACACCTCATCTACGAGCATTAACCAAGACTCATATGTAGCACATCACAGCCATCTTGACCCAATATGGGTTAAAAATACCACAAGTCTAATTAAGAGTTTCCATTATAGTTGGCCAGTTGATCCTTACTTGGCCGTAGGTGATTGAAGAGTACCTCTACAGAGATTCTGTTGAGGTTTGATTCTGCATTCAAGATGTCTTCTTTCCAGTTGTTTTGAGTGACAGCTTCAGGGTGGCTCTGCACTGGTAGCAGTCTTCAAAAGATCTCTTCTAAGCTGCATTGCCCTAAAATCTGTAATAGGAACTTCAGGTAGTCGTTGCCAGAATGGAAAGCAAGGACATCTCCAGATAAGATATTTAACTTTAGGGCAATTATCCGTGATTATTGCATTAAGATTTTTTGGGTGTCTTGAATCCTAAAGAACACAGTTTGTGCTTGGAAATGGTAAGTAGTGTTTAGGTAAACAGAAAAGTGCCACGTTGTATCAGAAAGCCCAGAAGTGCAGCATCAGTGTTTGTGTCCTGGATTTTCCAGTTTTGTAGAAAATAATAAGATATGCAATTGGTCCTTCATTAAAAAAAAAAAAAAAAAGAAAAAATTAAAATATTATTATTGCAGAATGAAATGTTTTACATACAAGACATTTCTGTGGCTAAGAAGTGTATCCAAGACACTTGTCTCAAAAGAAATTAATTTCAATCGAATGCGTATCTATAGGATGCACTTGGGACACATCTCTCCCAAGAGAGACTTACCATATGGTCTTCAGTTACTTTGAGATACTTATTTGAGCTGGAGTATGTTTTGTAAGGATTACTTCAATTTTTTTAATGCATTAAACTGTTATGCCCTTCTAAAGATCTTGTTTCTAGTTTCTACTGTTTCATGTACTTTGGGAAGAGAGTAGGGACTAAATTTATCTTTTTTCTTCTTATGCGTTTGGAAAGAAGGCAGTGGTTTTGTTGTGTTGTCCCTCTCTGCCACTTTTTTCTCTGCACTCTAATTTGTTTTTTCTTTATCAGACCTGGGTAAAGGCTTTCAAGCTATCCTCATCCTGCAAGAGATCTGTTTCCTGTCTTGGATCGTCATCTTAGGTGCCTAGAGTGCTTGACAAACAGAGGGGCAGATAGACTATTTGTTGTGTTGAAGCCATCTGTCTCCAGAAATACATGCTAGCTAAATCTCTGGGCTCTATTTCTGAACTGGGAAATGGGAAATCAAAACATCAAATAATTTTCTGTCTCCCAAACTGCGTTCTTGTCTGTCTTCTAGGTACTGTGTGTGGATTAGCTAAATAATATTGTCAGTGGCATATCTCTTCCTGATTTTTAGAGGGCTGCCTTGGCCATCTTGTGTAGGGGGATTTCATTCCACAGATTCATGGTCTACACAGGCCTTATGAGAAGCTTTTCAAAGCATAATTCCTGTGAATATAGCACTTTTCAAGGGACTCTTCTTTCACAAGGATTTTCAGGCATCTTGAACCCTGAAAGTAAAAAGAAGATCAGTGAATTCTGTCCATTACATCAGAAAGCTTCTCATTCAGGTGAGGAAATCCTGAGAGAAGAAATGATTCTAGGAATGTTCTTCCTCCGCTTTGGAACCAGCCCATAGATCTGACTTACCTGCATGAAGCTGCATCAGAGCACTGCATCAGTCACTCCGGATGTTAGAACATTTTGT